CTATCATACAACATAGTGTTTTCATTTATAGAGGAAACCAGAGCAAGATAGGTTTTAATCATTCATAAATTATCCAAGTGGTGACAGACTCAAGTAAACTAAGCCAAAAAGTTTTGGGGATGCAAAAAAACATTAGATATTTTGCATATGAAAGTGACAACAATATTAGACATTACAGGATTAGAGAAAACTCTTTACAATACTGGTTGAAAACTACTGTTATATTTAAGATGCTTAAATAAATGAACAGGATTTTATTTAAAAATGTATTAACAACCACATATAAAGAAAAGCCTTGCATTCTAGTTACAGACAACAAGAAAGAAAATTGAACTCTACTGAAATATAGATTTCAGATTCTCAAATATAATTTGCTCAGGCCTCACCTTCTGGTGGTATTACTGCCAGAGGAAATGATGGCAGAATGATTTTCCTGGGGACATCCTTCAGTTTCCCAAAGTCCTCCAAAAAAAAAAAAAAAAATCCATCCACCTGCTCCTCCCATCCACTAGGGCAAATCTTACCTCTTAAAGCTCAGCTACAACTATGCATCTCTTACAATCTTGTTACAGCCTCCCAAATTTGAATTCTCCCACCTTTCTACTACATGCTCCAAATTCGATCATCAACCACTTGCTCTCTATTTACTGTATCTCTCTCCTTCGTACTATTTGTCTATCCAGTGCTTGGGATTAACCATATTCCTACTTCAGTCCTACTCCAATGTTCTGAACTGAAAGTGAAGTTACAGATATTCCACAGGGCAAGGAGAGAAATGGACAGAATTACCTTTGGCAGCTCCCAAAATGGTCACAATGTTACTGCTGTCACCATAATCTTTGTAGTGAAACATCTACAGCTTTGTTATAGGTGGCACAGCTTTTATAATATTAATTGTGCTAGTTAAAATATTAGCTTTTCTAGAATAACACATAGCAATTTAAAATTTTACTTCGGATTTTTTGACATTAGCCTGTAAATATTTTATGCTAGAAGTAATGCCAGATATGTGCAAGTTTGCAAGACTGCGGTTTTATTTAGTTTTATTTAGCACTGAGCTGGAGAACATCTTTTACAGTGAATCTAGTTGGGCATCACTTTCTGAGCATCAAATGGGCAAGAGGAAGGCCAAACATAACAATAAAGGGATTCAGTTTGGGGTACATTCTTTTAGCACTCTTTGTACAAGTCTTATTCCTGCAGCGCTATTTTCTTTCACGTTACTTATGACTACTGAAATCAGTTGACACCTTGCACACAATATTAAAAATCATTTCAGACCAACTTTTCAGCATCACGCTACTTCAGGAAGGCATTGTTGCCTAGAATTTTTTTCTGTATTTGCAATGAAATCATATATAGAATACACTTAGTATTTTTAATATAGTAACAAACATTTGAGGTTCTTTGAGTGTGGAAAAAAGGTCAGGGCTGCTCAGTTTGACATACCTGAAGGAGCAGTGGGTTTGTTCCAACAACCAGCAGAATTTTGAAAGTATAATGAACAAGTTGAACAACATATTGGGATTTGAATGTTAATTACACTTTATTCTTGGAAGCAGTTAAAACCAAAATTTGTTTAAAAAAGAAAGAAAAAAAAGCAGGACATCTAAAAACACACAGCTTGAAAGAATTCCTTACTAGTAGAAATTCAAAGGACACTTTTTGAAAGCAGGCCTAGAGAATGAGTAAACAAAGTTTGAAATCTAAGAGAAACTAAGGACAGGACAAGAAGAGTGTTTGGGGAAAGGGGGAGATACTGTTTTGGTTTTGCCTAATTTGTATAGTGAAAAATCTGTCAAAATCTAAAACAGGTTATTTAAAACCTGAGATTTCATTATCTTTATGAAGTTGCAGTTTATTCTTTCATTCTGTATTCTCAGCTGTCTCACATTCCTGAGCAACTGTGTAGAAAAGACTCTCTACTAAAAGCTCTTCTTTGAAATTGTACTTTGCAATCCTTTACCCCCTACCTATTTAGATTTATTGTATAGTTTAGCACAAGCACTTTTAACTCAAAGAAAATAGTTTAGATGAAGTCAAGGAAAGCAAATTCTCGAGTTTTTCTAAATGCAAAATCAGCACCTTTATAGCAAAAGTTGCTGTCAGCAAGGATGGTTGTGAAAGGTCCAGCTTCAACATTATCTCAGCTATCAGACAAATATATTCTACATCTGCCCATCTGACAAAACCAGAAAAAGTAAACAAAGCATAGTGCAAACACATTAGCATCTGTGTTCAAACCTTTGCCTGTTATATTTAGACATTTGTGGGTTTCAGGTAGAGTAGACAGAGCACTAATATTAAGGCTCCTAAGGCTTTCATTGTAATCCTTTGACAATGTTATAAACCTTGAAAACAAAAACCAGTGAAGCTGAACAGTTTTTGAAAGTTGACTCAGTAAAGACAAAGCCTACAATAAGGAGGATAACGAATATAGTTTGGCAATATTCAACATAAAGCAATTAAGAAACGTTTAACAACCACAGATATTCCATGATTTAAAGAACTTCAATTTTAACAGCAATCTAAGTGTAGGATCCAAAAGGGACCTTTTCCCATCTGCATGAAAGATTCACCTGTCTGACCAATCCAAGAATCTCAGAAACAGTTTGTAATAAACACACTATTACTCCTGAATAATCTGAGAGTGTATCACATGCTTCAAAGTCTGAGTCCTTCATGCTGATGTGAGCTAGCTGCTCAGAACTGAATATACAAAAGAGAAGCATAATGCCTCTTATAGCCTTACATTATTACAAGATGTTAGTAGCTGACTTTTCTGTCAGTAAGCATTAGTGATAACATATCACAACTGTCAAAAAATTATAACCATCAGCAGTTAGCCTTCAGTATATACAGGGACTCCTGAATTCACAGTAGGCAGATTTTTTCAAACAACACTTTCATGTAATGAAAAATGAATATTCAGGTCAACCAAGATGACTAATATATTTGTGTTGTATTTGCCATTTGTCATTTTCAATTCTATATGTATATGAATTTCAATTTGTTTACACTAACAACTATATGAAAGTAATATTTAAGGCACCGCTATTTTGTTTCTTTCAGCTGAATTTGAAAGGTAGAGAGCCTCTCCAACCATTATTTAGATATCAAAAGAATTTCAATCAGCTAAGAAGAAGCAGCTACAGTAGCAACTCCTGAATGTTGTATCCTCACAATAATAGTAATAATGTTAATTATATCTGCAAACTTCAACAAACACTGGATCAAGCCCAATGTTATCAAATACGTGTCATATATATAATCATTGGGAAAACTGTCCTCACTCAGATATGTTACCCTAACCACAAAACTTCGGTCAACAACTTCAAAATGACTCTGTAGCATGGTTCTCATGAACACAAATGAGATCAGTTAAAAGGAGAAAGCACGGCTATTTCTTAGCCATTTTTGTTATAAATCAGTCTTTAGTGGGCAATAGTAAAGTGCTTAAAGAAGTGGGATTTTCAGCTCAAATTATATTTGGGAGTCTATGGATTTTTTTTTTTTTTATGTCCAAGATCACAAGGTGCTCTAGAAGTACTGTTCTAGTTTGAAGGCTAGATTTTGATTCCAAAGGTGCTGCGTGGCATATTTTCTTAGTAAGCTGCATAATATTATTTCTAGCCATGCTCCAAGACAACATGATAAATCTGCTCTGGTCCAGAGAACAGGTCACCTTGACCTGATTCATCTCTTACTTCATTATAATGCTAAGTAAAGCAAGCGCACTTAAACCTCCTCTCAAGATGAGTGAAACTATTTACCAAATTGCTTATATAAATCTACTGCATTGTCTTGAAAAGCCTGAGGAACTTTGAAGGTCGGAAATAGCAACTGAAACGTTGCTTTGCAATTTGAATTCTGTTTTCTCATGCTTGCGCATTACTTCAGACTAAAATTCTGATCTCCCTCCTTATTTACAGACTAGATCCCCTGAAAATGAATAAACAGCAGGTTTGTGGCGTGCCAAAAGCTAAAGAAACTCAAACTTCTGAGCACTACACAATGAAGTGAGTTCCAAAGTCAGAACAGTCTTCCACCAAATTCTTCTCCCTCTTTACAGGTGGGTTTAGTTGCCTCCATTGATCACAACCATGGCAGGAAGATCTGACACAGACCCTTGAACACAGAAGTTCCAGACTATTTAGTACTTAATATAATAAAAATATCTTACAATCAAATTGTTATCAAATCTTAAATATACATTTTTGTCAAACAATTTAAAAGTGAGGAAGTTAACAAGGGTACATACTCTGCCTATTCTGTTCAAAGCAGAGGAAAGCTGTACTTCGTCTTCGAAGTGCCTACACAGCACTGCTCAGCTCCCACTTCTCTTCTGCAGCTCAGGGAAGACTAGCCTTCTGCTGAAATTCATTTGTACGTATGGTTTCTTATCTCAGTTTACTCTTTTTAATTTAGCTAAGTCACAAACTGCTACTGACCTTGCAACATGTATTTTTTGTGTCTACAGCTAAGAATTGCAATTGCTCAGGAAACCTAAGTGGAGAAACCATAATTATGATCACCCTCCTTTCCACCAGCAAAGAATGACAGAAAGCTATAAATTGTGAGGCTGAACTAGACATTTTTACAATCTTGTTTGCTGTTAAAAGAAACCAATGCAATTCAGTGAAGAACTTCAAAACAGAACTTGAGGTAAAACACTAGCTAGATCGTGATAGTTTTAGTGGCAGATGAAAAAAAAGCAGTGTTTAGATCCATCTTGGGCCAAGGCTAAAAAGGTTCAGATACTGATATGATGGGGCCCATCAAGCTGTTTCGAAGTTCGACTATTGACAGATTTTTAGAAGCAACCAAGTTTAGCAAATATGTCCCTTTTTGGTTTTGATTCTGACAGGTGAGTTCAGATATTGGAATATCAGACAAAGGGCATACCCTGGAGGGATTTCCATAGAAATGTTTTCATCTTTGCCCATCTTTAGACAATAGGATGGGAAATTTGTGATGGATTTATGGCTGATGATATTTACCTCTTTGAGACAGCCCATAAAGTTGTTACTGACTGGTGACCCTGGGAGGTCTGCTGTGCTAGGACTGCCTCCAACATAGAAAAAGTCATCAGAGCCCAGCATGGTGTAGTCTTCTTGCGTGTATCCCGTTGTGGTCAGAATTCCATCCACTGATATTGTCACCTAGATAACAAAGCACAGGGAAAGGACACGCTATACTCAGACCTACATACTGGAGTCCTGGGATATGCCTGGTTTTGAGACCTAAGGCGGAACCCATTTTCATGTCTGTTTGAGGTTTGGTCTTGGATTCTAGTCAGCTACCCCTAGGAGCTCTAACTAGTTAAAGAGTTGTCTGATTGTTGAACTAGTGCCAGCATAGTCCCTATTGCAACTTAAAAGTTATTTAGCAGACACAAAAATGGTGTTAGTAGAATGCTTCCTAAGTTAGTTTAGCTGCTGTACATATTAGTAAGTTTAGTGGTCTGTCATTGACTAATAAAAACGTGCACCTTGTTAACAAAAAAGGCACAGGCTCTTTTTTTTCAGCACCATCACTATTTGCACTACATAACAGCAGTTATTAATCATGCAAGAGCATAATTACATGCCAAATAAAAGGAAATACAGCAACACAAATCAGGTAAGCAGCACACTCTGATATGCACATGCAGGAAA